ATCAATAATATGCGGTCGACCGAGCGCGTATTACAATAATATTAAGTTATTTCTTATCACGCGACAGACGTACGGCGCGAATTTACCGATCCGACGTCCTTCGCCTCCTCCCGACAATATGCCGAGACACATAATATGATATATAGCATGCCTGTGTAATAATAATATAATATTAATATCATGCTTGCCCATAATATATTATAATATACGAAGAGTAAATACGGTAATACGAATTTAGGTCATTCCGCCCCGTGTAATAAACGTCACTGCACTTCATGTACGATGTTCCTATTATACGTGTTCGGTGTTCCACAGTGACGACGATAATATATAAAGATGGCAATAATAATAATAAGAGTAATAATATAACACACGGTACACCTATATTATGTATATGTTATAAATTTTAGTCGAAGACGACTGCTTGCCGATATATTATATTTTATTTCATATCGACTGGAACCGGAGAGACAGTTCAATTAAAAGAAATGAAAAATATACGCGTGTACAATTGTGTTGTTACACTTAACGTCTTCCGGTAACACGTTTCTGTACAGCTATATCATTGTATTATATTATCGTATACGAATTTTTCATTAATTTCCCGCGTCCGGTCCACCTGCGAGTCGACCAACATAATATATTTTTATTATATTATGTATATAATATTCTATCCTTATATAATACGAGATAGAGACGTCCATCGACGCGGAGGTAAATTAACACTCGTAAAGCGCACGTATAGGTATACCTAAAATGTTGTTACCAGCTACTTACTGTACGAGAACACCAACAACGATAATATCATGTAATTAGTTTTTTTTAGTTTACAACGCCAAACGTGTTTGTAATACGGTTGTTAAACATAATATTATTGTAGGTACTATACGGCTTGTTCTCTTAAATAGCAGTAAAAATTAAAAAGTTAATCATTGATCGAAAATGGCTTTGCACAATATATTTGTCGATCTATTTAGAACTAAATGTTAGATAAACTATGGTTGACACTGCACATATTTGATATTTAAATATAGGTATTAGCTATATGTATATTGGAAGAAACCAAGCAGCTCCGAAGGAGTCTGCAATGTCCATGCCACATTATTATTGTTATAATAATATTATATTATTATATGATGATAGTTCAACAATAATCATCGAAAACTTGACAGTTTTCTGTATATAGGTTACCTCCTATTTGTTAGCAAACTATATAATATAGATGTCTGTAAGGACAAATTAACATTAATAATCACGAACTAATTAGATTTTGAATTAATTTACATATATGCCAATAATAATACTGCCTACCTGTTGTGTAGTATACAAAAATGATTTATAGCTATTCATGCATAATTATTAATTAATATTTAGAATATTATATCTTTCAAGAAATTGTAAAACTAGGGCTTAGCATTATTAGTTTTTAAAAACGAAAACGTTAAGCAAACGTACATTGTATACATATTATATATAAATTTATGGTTGTGGGCTGCAACAGACTAACAGAGGGGTTGTAAATTCAGTGTTTGGAAAAAACGAGTTCCAAAAGGAACGGATACCTAGAACGACTTCCTTTTTAAAGATCGTCACGATGAACGAATTTTTTTTTTAAGGAAAAATAACAAAATTTTTCGTTCCTTTCTAGTTCCAATAATTTACACAGATAAGTATGTAAAAATTGAAATTAAGATATTATATTTGTTTTAATGTATATTATGTACATTGTTAATTAGTGATCGTTATCGAGTATCGACGTTAAGACAATCGACACACTTTAGCCAAAAATGTAATTTTGAAGAAAATCACAAAATATATAATAATATATTACATAAAGTTATAAAATAGGTACCTACTTGTAATTCTATATTATAATTAAAAACTATAATATGAAAAAAAACATTAATGATTAAATAAGAATTTTTATTTTATTTGAAACTAAAAAAGGAACTCTTTCATTTTCCAAAGAAACGACAAATGAACGAATTCTTTTTTTTTTTAAGGAACAAGGAACGGCACAAATTTCTTTTTATAAGGAACTTGCCAAACACTATGTAAATTATAGGTACATAGATAGATATATAGATTAGGAGAAGTTTTTCTATACAATATATATATTTATTATATACATATAAGTACTTCGATAGATCGATTTACTTTCACGTGACACATTGTGCAGTGAAAATATGGGTCAGTATGTTGACGTTTTATTATTATATATAATAATATACATAATAAAATGTATAATAATAATATTTAAAGTATATAGTATATACGATCAGCTTTACACGATGTAGGTACCTAATAGTGATTCAGGGGTGTGTGGATAAAATTACTTGGCCGGTGAACTATAGTATAGAAAGAAATAAAAAACTAATAATACTATATACAGTTTATAAGTACAAGGAAAATATTTAATAATAAAAAGAGAAAATAGTATTTTTTTATAGGCTTAAGGTTGATCGAGATTTCTCGTCCAATCTTGTCTGAAGCACACCGGCCTTCGTTCTACGTGTAGATAGTGGTATATGTATACGATATATTATATTATAGATATGATTATTATTTTTATACAAAACGTACTTTCTACTGCAGGCTTCTGCTGAACGAGGGTGTCGAGCGATCAAAGGTTATATAGCTTCTTCGTCGGCGAGCGGTGGTGGCGTCGCTGTCGTCGTCCGACTGAATAGGAAGCGACGATCTGGATGGGTGGGTATGGGGTGGAATCGAGGAGAAAAAACGTTTATATTTTATTTTTTCCCCGTTCCATCAATATATACATTATAAGTGTCGGACAACGTTCCGTATTATATATATGTATATAATCGTACAACGAATAATATTATAAACGTATATATAATATATATATATATATAATGCATTTATGGCATGTATATTGGATTTAAGAAAATCTTTTCGGCTCCCGTAAGGGTATGGAGCGGACGGGGTCCGATGGAAATATTGCAAAAATCGAATATATATATGTGTCCTCATATATAAGGGCGCATTATAATATTATTATATTCAATATTGTGTATGAATATAAAAGAGCCGACTACGGCGCCGGGCAGGCGGACGGACGGACTGACGGACGACGATTTTCTCGAGGGCCGTTTATTCTTCACGCGCCCGGTAATATATTGTAATGTGCCAGAATCAATTTCGGGAAAACGCTAGCTGCATGTTTATGCCTTACCCTAACCTATATATTATATTATTATATTGTTGTATACGGCGAGGTCCCCCGTAAGAACGTCACACAAAGGGTCATTTCGTACTATATATTATATTATTATTATATACACAAATCGGGTATTGCTCGAGACACGTACGCGACGTCTCTTCAACACATCCGTTTTTAATCACCCCCTTCTGTCAGCTTACAATATTTTCCACGAAATCGGACGAATATTTACAGCGTCGGACCATAAAAGCATATTATATTAATACATTCCATATGGATTGTGTCCCCCCCTTCTAACCCCCCCCCCCACACAAACCAAGGTTAAAAAGATTGCCAAGTTACAACATCGTTAGAAAGAGTTTCCGAGAGTCCGAATATAAAACCTATTAAAATGAATGGTTGGTCTTAGGTATATTATACTAATCGAGCCCCCTCAAATTTCTCAAAAAAACCTTCCTTCTATTTATTACTGACTTAGAACTGTCAGTAACAAACAATTCTACAGGCAAATATTTTTTTAATGTTGAGTTTTGAAAAAATTGATAATCTATGTACCTAATATACTAATAATATAAATAAACCTAGGTCTTATGTTTGTATAATAAAATTCAGTTGCTTAATTATTAAGCCTCAATATAACAAATTAATTTAATGTCTTAATCGGTAGAAACTTTGCATACTATTATATTCAAATCTTGTTATTTGTTTTGAATGTATTAACTGAATTTTGCTCTAATTTAATTTTCTTTGGGTTTGATTATTTTGTTAATGACATGAAAACTTTTCATAATTTTTTCCATAATATATACAGTCTTAATTTTTATCTGATGAAATTCATAAAAATGATAAGAAACAATATCACGTAGTTACTTCCGTATATAATATGAGGTTGATATTTAAATTTTTCGTTTCCCAATATTACGGACTTAATTATGGTATGACTCAATTCTGGTATGTATATTTCGTTTATGCCGGGACTCAATTAGCAAATTATTATTTTCCTTTTGGTATATAATTCAATTAGTATATTCAGCGTTTTAAAAAGATCGTCAATAATTGTGCATATGCAATGGGATATTGGGATTAAAGTGTAGCTATCTTTTTTCAAAAATGTTGTTTTCTTAGTTGTTATACTTTTTTCTCTCTCCCTCTCTCTCTCTCTCTCTCTCTATCTATCTCTCTCTCTCTTCCTGTATAGAATCAAGAGGGACTTATGGTTGTATGGTATCTTTATGATTTCATCTATCTATGTAGGTTTCTGCTATCAACTCATACTCATGGATTTCTACCAATGGATTTCTTTGTATAAAATATTTTACGAATATTTCCCCCTGCATAATGTATAATCGTACTAAATTGTTGTTAAACATCGTAAATAAATAGGAAGATTTGTTTCATAATTTAAATTTTTTCGTTTCAATTATATATTATACTTTTATGATTGAAAATCAAGAAAGAAATATGGAGCTTTCAAGATTTGGTTAGAAATGTCGAATGATGAGATAATATTATGTATATATTGTTTTAATACAGTGTTTCCTATAAATGGACTTGTAATGCATTGGGTATTAAATATTTTAAAACGCTTAAACAGAGAACTGTTTATTGTCCCTATATAATAGCTGTAGTTATGCATAAAGATTAAAGTATTAAAAAAGTTTGGAACGCTAAAACATTCAAACTCGTAATGTAATTTTTACTTCGGACCGTTAATCGTCGAAACATCGCGTAAAAGTAACTATAATATTACTCTTCTGGAAAAAATGTGATGAAGGGTTCAGAATATAGCGTCAGGACTGCGTCTGTTGCAGCCTTTTTAACTGACAGGTTGCTGGTACTGTTGACGCCGACCGCGTCGGATACTCTTCGATTTCGACCGGCAGACCACGTGCCATAATCTCTTTATGAGTGGTGGCTTTTGCATTTTAGTTTTTGCATTTTTGCATCCGTCGATGTTACTATTATTATAGCCCGAGCTGTAGATTAACCACACGATTGCAGCAGCAAGGCCGACAGTTATTAATACTATCAGAAATATGTCAGTGCTGCTAAGTGTTTGAACACAATCGTCAGGTACGACCGACAGCGGACGGTGAGTACTGGACCCGCGGAGACCCGGCGTCGTCCGGCACGAGGAGCACCGCCTGCGGTCTTCGTAGTTGTCGAACTCCTTGCAGAGCACGTGATCGTATTGCTCAAAGTGCGACATCACGTGGTCCGCGGCCACAGTGTTTATTTTGTTCGTGTACAGTGTTATAACAATATTTTATTTCATATATTATTAATATATATTGTTGTCGTTGTTGTATTTGAGTAGGTATGGAAACCAAAAGCGACGTATATAGCTGACCAACTATGCAGGCAACTACTTACCTATATTATATTATACTATTTGCCGTAAAACGGTTTTTTATTAATATATTATTTATGTATATTGTATATACGTATACAGGCCACTCCCACCAAACACATGTATACCTCATCAGGAAGGAACCAGCACCCGTATGCGACACTTGTAATGCAACTTAATAAAACACATGGTCGTCAACTGCCCCAAACATGTATTAAACTTGAATTCAATGATATAATATCATTATTGTATAAGAAAAACGATTCTGAGCGGAGACGGTTTGTCAGTCTGGATATTGTTATTATTTATTATATCCTGCAAGTTGAATCTATATTTTAATAGGTATTACTATTTTTTATTCGTTTCTATGGTGATAAACAAAGCGTTAGAAATTAAAATCCCATTTTTAGAGGTTTTTCGTAATTTGTCGGTGATTTTTCCTGTGACATTAAATAACTGTTGAGAAAATCGAAAAATGACCTTTCTAAAGTACCATCTTGATCCAATTTGCTAAAAGATAAGTTACTATATTATGTTGAAATCGAAGCACTCCTTCTGGTACATATTTTGTAAAACCACTAGCTATTCCTCGCTCCGCTCAGAATCTAAAATATACGTAATATACTAATTATTATTATGATACTTGAATATTTCAGTAAAACTATTTGCGTGTATTAATATTATGTATAATGTATATTATATATATTTATTATTACTAAAACCCAGTACGGAGTATTTTGGCTACGGCTACATAATTTTATAATATTCTACAGCAGGTCCGCCGTTTGTACCGCCGTCTAGTTACCGAGTAAGTATCGATTGGCCTCGCCCTAAAATTTGGGTTGGCAGGAAAAATATGGCCATAATTGTTTTTGGAAATTAGTATATAACATAACATAATACAAATTAGGTATATTATTATATTATTATCCTATAAAAGATACTATTATCATGCAATGACACAAAAATACACAACATATAATATAGCTTACAATAAGTATGGATCATATTATATCGGTGAGCATTCGTGGGGGCTTCCGCGGGCTTAGCTAAACGCCAGGAATATCGATAACCCTCCCCCCTTCAAATTAAATTGGATGTGGGCCGCATGTAAATAGTAATCGGAGTGTGTGGGACACTTGAATCTATAATACTATACCCAAGCCAAAAATTCAAACAATTATTGTCCTCATATTATTTATGCCAATTTTATGGTCAAGTACGGATGATGATATATTTTTGGCATAAAAACCGCATGAAATAAAATCATAGTGTCCACTATGTGTTACTATAATATTATTATAGTATATAGGTACCTATATAAGCTACAATCAATTACTTTTGCGTGTTAGGCACTTAAATATATATTTCAGCCAAAACGTCCTCCACGATAATATATATATATATAATATAATTATATTGTTTTACCGACGTTCCCGCGGGTACGTACCCTATATACCATGGGTGTGTTTACCGCGTGTGGGTGTATAAAGAAGTCGCTTGTCGTTTCTGTTTGTTTTGTTGTCGAACGGCTAAAAGCCCACTTGTCTTGAGCGCGCGGCGTCGGTGCACCCTCGCACCCTCGCGAGCCGATAATCGTGTTATGTACCTTCGAAAACAATATATTATTATTTCGACCGTCCTGAAAGACGGGCAGGGAGGTTCGAACTCAAGTGCAGTGAGACGTCAACTGTGAGTATATAATATATATATATATATAGCACCGAAATATCACTCAAAGTTACCTACACGCATACGTGTATTTTTTTTGGTTTTTCACCAATAACACAGGATAGGACCGATTTAGGAAGGGTCGAGAGCCTAAGTCAAATGTCCATGCAATGCTCAGATTAGCCACTCCAAAATGTCTGCAAGTATGGAGGTATCAGTTATATGTAATTGTATGTGGTCTTGCTGGAAATATGTTTTTGGTAGAAAATTGAAGTTGGGCCGATGTATCTTCTATACCTGGGTATACGCACATACTGTATAGGGTCGACGTCCGACAATAAACTATACAATTTATTCAACTCCTATTATAGCTGGCTACGATACCAATCGTCTTGAATTATAATTGGTTTTTTTTATTAATAATGTTCACAAGTCAAATACTATGATATATTGATAATGCGAAACGTAGTCTCCAGAATCTCCTCCGACGAGTTTTGTGGTATTTTAGATAATGAAAAATAAACACACTGGACTTATTAGGTATTAATAAATTATTATGTATATATTTTGTAAACGAGTAATTCCATATTACGGTAGCTATTTAAATGTTTATATACATATTTATATCTGTATAGGTAACTTACTAATAATATTAATCCTCCACAACTTCCTGTCGCACAGTAGGCAAATTTTCCTTTCGGGTAATTGCTTTTTCTGTTTTCTTTTTTGATTTTTTCATCTCTTTATCGTATTTCCTTCCTGACACGTGGTACGGTAATTTTGTAGGAATTCAAGGGATTTAACGATTAAATATACAGAACGAATATTGTTCCGCTGTCCTGTATATAATAACATAATATTATATAGGTATATAGCAGCTCTACAGAAATTTCAATAATAATATTCTGGTCTTTTATTTTTTTTCAACGGTTGTTCCGTTGTAATTATGTACGGAAATTTATATTACTCTTCAGCGATATATTCACTTTAACATTTCGCGTATAAGACGCGTAAAATATTTTTTAATTATTTCATGATAGGAACAGCACTGCTCCACAGTTTTATGATACAACATACATATTATCAAAAAATATTTGTATCAAAACAATAATTAGCAACAAATGAAGAAATATAGGAGCTTAATGTTTAAAAATTTGTTGTTGAGGGGAAAAAGAAAAATAATAAAAAAATGCACGGACTACCGATCCCGCAGAAATAAATTATATATTATAAAATGGGTATTGCGTTTTCGTCTTGACGTTGCACATTTTGGGTACGTTGGCAGTATAGGTACTACATAATATTTTAACTACAGAACGAATACAATAGCAACAATAATGATTACTGTCGAAAAAAAGACACAGACAAAGTCAGTGTACGAGAAACGTTTAATTTACTCATTTCCGAGTGCTTCAATAACATTACTAGGTATTTATTATGTGTGTGTACAGTAGCCAGGAAACTAATCGTGGGAGAGCACTACAGCAGTAATTTGACGAAACAGAATTTTTATTTTTCCAAATTATATTTTTGATATATTTTGTATTTTTGGTGACGTAATGGTCGATTATCGTAGACCCTATATATTTACACAAAAAAGTTATTTGTTAATAATTCATAGTATGCATACATAATATTACACATTTACACTGATTACAGAACCTGATACCTATCGGTTATACCCGTTTGTATTGTTTTTACCTTAAATGTATCTACAACATAATACATTTGAGTATAAATATAGTCTATTCAATCTGGTGCATAATATTGTGATTCATGGTCAATTGTTAACAAATTAGCTGCATAACTTAAAAAACTTGAGTGTACCATTTCAATCTGGGTCTATAGTAACTCTCAGTATGTGAGTCTCAGATAACAATAACAAACTCTAACATAGATCAAACGACTAACAATAGTGCACTACTGTATACAACTTTTAAAGAATTCAAAGTTTAAATTTATTGCGAATTGGTTTTAAAAATCCGAGATTTTTCAATATGAGTGGGAAAGATGATAAAACAAAACAAGAAGCGATAAGCTTCAGACCATTTTATTATTTTACCGAATTATATATTTTTTTTTAATAAAATAATTTAAAAAAAAAAAATGTATTTATGTATAAATCTTAATAAATTTTAACATTTCAAAACCTTTTTAAGCTTTTAAATGTATCGCTGAACATCTTTATTATATATAGTATTGAACACCATATAATATATGAACCACGATAATATGTATACAAATTTAAAATTTAAATTAAATGTTAGCGATATTTTTAAACTTTTAATGTAGCCTACATTATGTAGGTATCTTTTATTATTGCACGGAGCAATCGCATTTACATAATAATATTTATACGCGATATAAATGATATAATATATCAAAATATCTAGACCGGCTTAGGTGTAGGTATATTAATATATTATAATATTATGTGTGTGATCCACAGAGTTGGATATACACGGATGGTGTGCTGGTAGGTATTATACGTGCACAGTATTATATCTATCATATCTGTATAATACGTATTCATATATTATACACATCGCATATACGTACGTATTTGAACCGCTTATTTACGACGTATTAATTACGGGGCAATTAATAATAACAACACGCTGCCGCCGCCGGGATATCGTATATTTCATACCTCGCCGATAATAATTACGGTATAGGAAACACCTATTATTATTAATAATAATAATAATAATATGTGCGCATAATAATATTACGAGTGTTATAACTTATAATATATTATATTGTTCGTACGGAGCGCATCTGGAAATTCGATGCAAACCGTGCAGGCTCTTACCACACACAGCAGGCGCGTGAAGACGATCTCTGGACTTTGACTTTCGACGCACTCTGTATACAACGATATGTGGGTAGGTATACACGAATACTTAACGCGAAGATCGGGAATATAATATTATAATAACCGCGTTATCCTTCACACTTGTGTTTAGGTTAGGTTCTTTTTTTTTACACGATGTGTGATTGTACACCGCGATATAGCTGGTAGTCACGATTGATATATTGGTATACTAAATAGTAGGTAGTAGTGTGTATCATAGTTGTGTGCCTACTACTACATAGGTATATATCTGGTATACTGATATAGGTAGGTATATTATACACATATATAAAGAACACTGGGTGATTTACTACACCTGATAGCAATATGTATA